GTAACACACTAAAACGGATTTCCGATTTCTGCAAAAATATGAATTGCATGATTGAGGAAATCATTTCCTTTTGCCAAACAATATTTTCATCAACATTAGTTCAGCCAATAAAAAATCCACATATGATGACATTGTCAATATGATGAACGTTTTGGACGACATTTAATGTTGTTAAATAGGGAGGATCTTTTCCTGCAGGAAATCTGTTATGATTGTAGTATAACACATCATCCTTCAAACAGGGAGATAAGTTTGGTGTTAATGACGTCTATCAATTATAACGCCTGAATGGGACCAAAGTTTAGTACATGTCTGATAATAGAAGTGTAGTACCTTTCTATATAAACTGTAGTACCATGCAGCTCAGCGACTTCACACAAGAGCACTTAGGTAATCAGCCAATGACCATCCTATATTCTACAAGGTGATGTAATGAATCGGTTATTCCAGCTGATGTCTTTCGTACCTTATAATTTCATTTCAAATCAATTTTATTGTATTCAAAAAAATACAATTGGATTAGGCACAGGCATTGCCTATAAGAGCCCTTTCCAGAGAAAATACACACATTTCATACATTCATATATATACATATATATAGAGAGAGAGAGTATTATAGAGAAGATGTAGTATATGTTCGAATTAATAGGAGAATACTAGAACCATTTAATACATGTTCACAAAAAATAATGCATGTAACTAGAATATCATAGATTTTACCATTTCAATTAATATAGTCTATTTACTTCAATTATTAATAACCTAGTGTTTGGTTGGAGGCACTTCAAAGACACTGTCACTATACACAGTGCCATCCTTCCCAATTACACCTATTGTTATAACATAGCAAATACAAACACATTGTAATGTAATTTTTAGTATAGTTTAAGTTAAAATCTTCCAGATTTGTCAATAAACTCCAGAACACATGAGAGAATAAATTTATTTGATTCACTGCTAAGGTTCATATCACCCTTAGTGAAAGTAACAGTATTTAAGATGATGTTGTCAATTTCGTTGTAATTAGATAAAGCATTGAATAAAACTTGTCTTTCATCTATATATTTGGGGCAATTGAGGAAGAAGTGATTTGCATCTTCAATAATAAAACCACAGTCACACTTAGGATTATCTGTAAGATGATCATTATATAAATCTGATTTTAATTGGCTGACTTTATTCCGTAGTTGACATAAAGTTATATTCAACTTCCTGGAGCCACCGTATTTAAAAATATCCGTACAGTTAGATGGTTGCAAAACGTATGTGCTTTCCTTAAGTAATTCCAGTTTTAACTGGCTCAATGTAGTGAGTTTTGGAAAAATACAGTCTGGCCTATTCCATAGAGACATCATTCTAGGAAAAAAGCTATTTTTATACAAGTTGGTTCTGCACAAGGGAACAATAAAGTTTCTATGATGTCTAAGGCGAGGATTAATATCATTATTAAAATATGGTAAGATACAATCATAAAGATGGTCAGGACAGTCATGCTGCAGTATCTTGAAAAATAATATACATTGGTAATTATCACGTCTTTTTTTTAGTTTATCTACACCAAATTCCTTATATATTAAGTTATGACTTGTACCTCTTCTCAAACCTGATATAATTCTGAGACATTCTAACTGGACTGATTCCAATAAGTCACTTTCACCCTGGGTGCAATTATTCCACACAGCACAAGCATATTCAAGTGTTGGTCTTATACAAGATTTATAAATTATTTCAAGAGATTTTCTATCTAGCTTTTGTTTGAGCATTCGTATTATTTGTAGTTTTGTACAGCTTTTTCCATATATATAATTAACTTGATCAGACCATGATCCACGACTATTAAAAAGCAGACCAAGATGTTTATGATTTTTGACATTTATAACGACACTATTTGAGAATACCAAATCTGGATGAGATGTCTTATAATTGACCCCCAAAAACCTAAAATTTAATGTACCAGAGCCTTCTTTTAATTTAGATATCTTGACAATTACCTACTACTTTAAGACACTGTTGATATCATTCTAAAGCTCTATGGCAAACGTGCCAACTGATCAAATTAGCATGGCTTATATACAGACAGTCGCATGGCTTTATAATGTAATATCATCTTGGTGACAGTTAAAGCGTTGTACCTGAGAGGTATGAGGTTCAACTTCTCTGTTTCATCTCCGTTGTGTTTTGTTTTTGTTAAATTCTTCTTTTGTTTTGTTTTTGTTTTGGTGTCCTTTGAATGCACAAGCTGTTTTAATGGAAGCCAATAGGTGGTTAATTAAACCTGTTTTACTGAGATATGTTGACTTTCAAGCATCAAATATTCCTTGTTAAACCCATGATATTATGTCACGATTGATGGTATATAATTGATGTTGAATAATTTAGGACGCATCCATCTATGTTGCTGGTCCGCAGAAAGGAAATACCTGGTAAAGACTACAGCGATAGTGTACCGACCCACTGTACACTATCGTTGTTGGTTGGAGTTTGTATCCCTCACAACAGCTATGGTTATATGAAAACAGGTGTCTCGGAAGGGACAACCGAAAAGAAAGTGTGCGTGAGTGAGAAACGAAAAAACTATAATTTCCAAATGTTATGATTGTACCAGTAAATCAGGTTTCATATCTTAAATGCTCACTAAGCTTTTGGAAAACACCAGATTCTCCAGGGGTCCCACACAAGTCTGCTCGTACAAATACACGAAGTGGGAAACAACATGTATTCTCTTTTCCAACCTGCAGGGGGCGTATACTATCGTAAGAGTGAGCCCAGCAGAATTCTACCGTGTCTTCTGCATAAGCCGCAGCTCAATTTTGGTTTCTCCAAGTTTCAAAAAGAATATACAGAAGAAACCATCCACCCAAGAGGCTCCATATAATAAGCTTCGTACGCCCCATCCCATCTTAGTTCCGTAGGACACAGAAGGATATGATAGGGGACAAATATTCCAAGTGTTGCAGTAAGCATCGTGCGTTCTTTATGGAGTCGTTACTGTAATATATGAATTGCACGGATTGTTTTTGTAATTGTTAAAACTGGTATATGCACACATGTATTTTTTCAAATGACTGTTAATGATCCTTTTTAATCATCAAGCCTGTTTTCTATATAAGCTTTGTTCATTTCTTCTTTCGCAGTAAAGCTATCTTCAGTTGTTGATGCATCTGTTACGCTGTATTTTGATAATCCCGTTAAGCTTTAAGAGAATGTATTATGTATTTATATGAAAATGGTTGCTGGAAACTAAAATACGATCCTTTTGACATGTTCTGTAAATGTGTTTTAAACACTCCTCAATCGCATGTTATTGCTTTGATCTAATTTAGATAAAACAGATACATATTCATTTCAAACAATCTAACATCTATTTAAGTTTATCAAACGTGTCACGTCTTCGGTGTTTCGTTTAGCACTGATTTGTTTCTTCCAGGGACAACGCATGTATGATTTTCACTAAATAGGTAATCGTACAATAGATAAGAATGAAAAATGAAAAAATATCGCCCAAACCATTTGTTATTGCGCAATACACCACACATACACCGTTAATGGTTGTAATAGAAAAAGGTATAACTCAGATTAACATTCAAAAATAATATTTTCAACACAAAAAGTTAGAATTCAAATAAGATACAATAATAACAATTACTGATGAGACTTCAGAGCAAACACAGAGATCATCAAGGACTACAACCAAAGACTGAAGCGAGGCAATGTCTGACAACATTGTGTTTAGTTTGGTTTGGTTTGGTTTTATTTATTTTGTTTAATGTCCTATTAACATATAAGTTCATGCTTGGTTTCGTAGCAGCGCCAAATCACAACTTCATTGTTAGGTCTTAAATTAGATAAAAACATTTATGTGATTATTTTGGAGTACCAAACATATTGCCAGACATCAACTATAAGCTATCTTACTTTAACTACTTATTATCTAATACCCAAAAGATGAAAAAATACCTAATCACTTTTCGAAATATATCTTACGTATTTTTATATCTGGATAACAATGTTTGTCATTAGGAATATATCTCCATGAACGTCAAACTACTCCGCCAGATTTTTCTATTAATAAAATTAAGTTGACGGTAAATACAGTTTAATGAAAAGTACGTTTCTGGGGTTTTCTATTGGTTCCTATCCCTAAGAAATAAATATTCCACCTAAAATATGTTTAAACCAAAGTTATTTGGCTTCAAATATGTTTCATGGGGAATGCTTTTGTCCGGAAAGTGTTATTTTATTCAATGCGTCTGTAGTTTAACAGATAGGGTTGTATTGGTAGATTCGTATAAATATCAATTGTTCATCCGTAATAAGTATATATGACACTGTGGATTTAAGTACATTTGTGTAGTTGCTAGTTGACATCTGTGATTCTTCTTATATGGTTGTACTTGTAAGTATGTAAGTAAGAAATCAGCCGTCTGGGGATTCAAACAGTCTGCTCTCTGCGAGTGTAATAACGACATCTAGTACTGTTTGTAGCCTACTGATTATGGTGTGGTTCATCTCATAGGAGTCTGTTTCAAGTTTTATATCTATTCGGAGAGTGTAGTAAAACTGATCCCTCTAGCTACTTTAACAAATCGCCTTCCGGGATGGTTGTGTGTTATTTGTCGTGCATGGCTCCCTCATTTAATGTAATTTACTAGAATCGCTGTTTGCAGCTTGCTCCCTGGCGACTGTAAATGTCCAGTGGTAGGCATACGAGTAGGCAGCTATGGTAGCGACAGAATGAAACAGATCACCCGAGGGACAATGATCAGTATTCTCCGGGCGCTTGTAAAAGAGCAAAGAGTCCAGGGATCAAGTAGAAAGCCACACAAATAAGCGTAAACAAATTAGTATAATTGACATTTCGTGTTACAGCTTGGCAACCCAATTTTGCTTCAATCCAATCTGTCCGCTACGTACCTGTCCAATGGCTGTAGACTATATTCCGTGGGAAGGAAATAAGTCACGTGACTGCTAGATTATGTACGTAACGAGTTTCATTGAAAACCAAAGATAATTTGCACTTGAAAGCGCCCCCGTATTTCGACTGTGAAATCTGATTCTTACTGGTCTGTCGCAATAATGAAACCTACACGCGCGTGTGTGGTTAGTACGCTGAATTATTGACTAGGCTCCGCGACAGTGTTTGTATACACACATGCATATATAAATGCTATATTAGCGTACATTTCAACTTCATCTGACCAGTTGACAAGTCTCTTTCCAAACGATCACTCCTTTATTGACAGTTGTAAATAGATCTATAAAAGTGACATACCATCTCTATGAAATGAAGTTTTTGAGATAGCACAGTTAAAACGTTTAAACAGAAAAACATATTTCCTATACAGGCTCACGTTAGTATCATTGGCAACAACTTACATTGGGATTGTAGACTGTTTGATAAACTTTGGACCTGAGTGACACTATTCTGAAAACGTTGACAGAAAAAGGATGCAGCCAAACATATACGTGTGTTCGTACGTGGCGGTGGTGGTGGTAATACTCTCTACTATTGCGCACTGTTACCCCAGCAAACAAATAGACTTATTCACAGACTCTCTGCCAGATGACTCATATTTTTTTGAAGGTAAGAAAATGTCATTTTTTTCTAATAATATTGAATTTATCTATATTTTGTTGTGAGGGGTATTACTTTCGTCACATATTCTACCTCCATCTTTATTCTATGAGTATTTTATTTTCATCTTAATGGCAGCTTGTGCTTGTTTAATTTTTTAAATTTTCCTTTCGTTGTCAGTTTGGCTTGTTTTGTAAATTCCTGGCATCACTATTGCATCCCTATTTGCAGCACTGACAAATCTCTTTTTTCATCAAAATTACTTAAATCGTACACATACTGTGAATTGTCACTTTGTGTTGGTTTTCCATATCAATATCGGATTGTGTCACTGAATTTCCTTAAAAGGTAAGATGAATACAGTTTCAGTATACGTACCGTTGGTTAAAACTTTCAAAATATCAAACAATTAATTGATAAATATAACTTAGTCTTTAACGTGATTTTACAGTAAATGAAAATAAGTAGAGAGTCACCTGTCCGACCACGTGGTTTTTCTCAGGTGACTCCGACTCAACATTAGGACCTCGCTATATATCTGGGCAAACAGGACTGAATAAATTGACAAAATGTGTTCATAATGGTGGTAAAATGGCGATAGAACTAATAATAAGTCGAAGGGTTAATGGTTCACTAAAAGGGATATTTGAGACGAACAAGTTAGGACATGCCGTTAAACCAAATCGACTTCAAATCTAAGAAGCTGTTTATATTATGCTTTCGAATGGTTGGCATTGTAAATCTCAACATGTTCTGTACCTTGTCTTAAAACCCTAATTTGTATAACCTTATATTGTTAATGTAAAACTCGTTCATATCGTAAATAGTAAAACATCATTTGAAGAAATCATTAAAGGAGAAATTATAGCCATATTCCACACTGAAGTTAATGACCTATGACTTTTAAATACCTCTTAGTAATCGAGAAGTCTTGCAAGGTTTCGTTTTTTCTTGTGAACGTCTTTTACTGGTTGCATAATAGTAGTAATTAAGAGAGTGAATGTCAGCATCAATTGTATGCAACATTTTGCTTTTATTTTTGTGTTTGTGAATAACAAGATATCTTCTCCGATCTTATTTGATTTTCAAGTTAGCTACATAGGGACTGACTCGAGAGACACTTTATGGAAAATACAACTTGTGTTCTTAATATAGAGAGCAATGTAGAGGTCCAATCCCAATTATATATCTAAACGAAAGCATGTGGCTTTGTTACATTTGGCTGTATTACATATGGCTGTATTACATGTGCCTGTAACACATATGGCTGTATTACATGTGGCTGTATTGCGTGTGGCTGTATTACATGTGGCTGTAATACAGGTGGCTGCATTACATGTGGCTGTATTACATGTGGTCAGTGTTTAAGACTGAAAATCCAAAACTTTCAATATACATTGTACGTTATCAATATTTTAGGTTTGAAATTAAATAAATAAATAATAATATACAACATTTATATAGCGCCTATATAATTTGTAAAACTACTCTAAGGCGCTTTACAATATATGGATAATAGTATTAGTTATGATTGTGAAACAAAAATAAAGACTTACAATCACTTTTATACATTAGACAAGTAGATAATCATCGCAACATGCACATAAAGGAATAAATAATGGGTGGAATTTACATGACGTCTTTGCATAAAGCCTAAAATGCAGACGTGAACTGGTGAGTATTGATGTCTCTCTTGAATTAGCCCATGGTATTTGCCTTTTTAATAGCAGATGGTAAGCTATTCCACAACGTAGCCGAAACCCTTTATTAAATAAATCAGATTGTGCCTGATATATCGCTGACAGTTATCAGAGCTTTTGCTATGTTTTGTCTCATAAAGTGTGATTCCCGTGTTTTATTATATAACCCTTAAGTCGTATACCCATAAGAGCTGATTTCATGGTTAGGTGTCCTGTAAAGACTAAAATGATCATTTAAAGATAAAGATTTATTGAAAAAAATCGTTTTGACGAATGCCGTTAATTTGACGTTCTGCTAATTGAAGCTCAAAATCATCCCTAGAAATACAATGTAAGGAAACGCATATTAGAAAATGTATTAGTAGATGAAGAAAACTAAGAACTGATTTTTTCGACTTAAATGATTCAAAGCGGCACGAACTGTTATTAGTAACGGAAGTTATGTGAATGTCACGTAACCGAAATAACTTTCCCTTCCACTGGTAAATCCACTATTATAGCATGCTAGAAAAAAATGACAGAAGAAAAATGCAGTAAAATCAATGTTGCAATATTGGTATGTTTTTTTCTTCTGAATATTGATTTTCACTGTCAACGAATGGCGCTTAGAATTGGTTGCATGTCACATTAAGTAATTCAATTAGGAGAAAACACGACAAACTTTAAACTAAACTACGTCAGTGTTAGACAATGAGGTCCAAAACTCTAATGTATGTTTAAATCTTTCCCATGGCAAATAATTTATTGCTCAATTTCAAATTTATTTTATAATCTAAAGGTTCATACCATCAAATTCCTTGTCAAATGGTTGACTGATAAAGGCGTTTTTGTTACCAATCCTTGGGCCGTATTCATAAAACCGTTCTCATGCTCAAATTCAGTTACTGTGCTCAAGTCAAATTTCATGTCCTTGTGATCAATTCATAATAATTCACATTTTGATAAATAATTTTGGATGAACGTTGGATAGACTCAAAGCCGAATACTGTTTCTTATGTTTACACTTAATTTTATACCGTGTCACATGATTGAAGCAAGTCACAAGAAAGTTGACCTGAAAATCCATGCTTAAGTATGAGTACGGTGAAGACGGGGCGAGAATAACGTCCAATAGGAACAGAAAAGAAAACAAAAACAGAACGAGTAGGTTGTATTATATATTATCTCGTTAACGATCAACTGAAGGTATACCACCATTAATTAATGACAAATAAACAACACCAAGCAGGTTTGTTCTACGCTTGGTTTTGTTTGAAAGGGCACATTCAAGAATACAAGTTTTGACAGTAAAAGTTCGATCGTATATGGCTGACATTTAGACTATTCCTCGGTCGTAAAATATAAGACTGCGTAGGAATAGCCTTCGCTCAGTCTTGTCTGAGGCGGTCTGCTCTGCTGTACTTGTGTCAAAAGCTTGGTTATATCACAAACAACTTCATAATCTCTGTCAGTTCGTTGCATTACAGTTTGCTATGAAAGGTTTGAAATCAGAGTAAGGAAGTATATAACGTCAAGATGTACATCGGTATTTAAGTGCTTTTTTAGCAGCGCGAAGCCTGATCTACGTTCCTCATTTCCTCTGATCCCCATTAGTTCCGACAGACCGGGAACCCAAATAAAGGTCAGGTGACAGGACCTGAAAATCCTTTTGACGTAAGGGGCATGTTCGATATGAGAACATCTTTAAAGATTAACTTGTTAGACCTAAGTAGTACTTAACTGACAATGCATCAGACTATATTGTCAGGAATGGTCATTTTATGTTGTTTACAACTTCATCAGTCTTCAAGTCAGATTGATAACATTAATTCAATGACAGAAGCTGGTAATGGGACGTTGATCAAAAGAATAAAGAAACAAATCACTTGTGTAAATAGACGTTTTACTGGTTAAAATATAGCCAGAAGTTACGAAACAAACAGCGCACGCACGGAAGATTATGATACTTCTCGATATTGTGTCATAGTGATTTTACTCAAGTCTACCGATTCGTGCAATGAAGAGTTCGGGTTGTAATGGCAAACATTAATTGACGATGGGTAATAATCCGAATTGTCTTCATAGTTTTGAAGTCGTATGCAAAATTATGAAAAAATAATAAGTCGAAAGATAGTTATAACTGAGATTAAATACTGACTGTTTAGCTAGGCTGTCTGGATTTCAGTTTACCTGTGAAGAAACCTGCTGTCAGAATTCTGTTGTGCGATATTTTGGCTGGCGTTTGTTTGCTTCCACATAGAGGTTTCCATATGGTTCGATGCAAAAAGGATTTAAAACGAGACGGCGGTCTTGATAAACTGAATCAATATCCTTCTATATCTAACGCGGTGTCTCTTTCACACGGTGACACCCCATCCCGATTACCACCACCCCATCCCGATCACCACCACCCCATCCCTCCAAATCACACGCATATTATTATCGAGCCGTACTGCAATCTAAGTTATAACGGAGAAAAAAATCTCGAAATATATGAAGAGATTTTGAGAGTTGACACATGTATAAAATATTAAGAAAATGTCATTGAATGTATAAAACATTAATTTAAATGATAGGCGTAACTGTATAGGAAATATGTTTCATTTTCGTGAAGATGGATTACCATAGCACAAATAAAATAGATACATCGACGCTGCAGGTGTATTACATTACGTCACTTAAGACATTGATTACTGCACCAAATGTGACGTTTGATCTCGGATACTTAGCATCATCATACTCAGTGTGTACATAGCAAGCTTTAATGTTCGATGCATAACATTCCTAGGGAATATGTATTGCAATTACAACTGTACTTTACGTCACTATGACGTGTTCTCAAAATAGGAAATTCTAATAAAAAAAAAAATGAAGTCTAAATAGTTTAGCAAATGCTTCGTGCTAGGGTTTCGTCGTGACCTTAGAGGGTTGGTAATTTAATTATATGCGTCATCGTAAATTAATCACAGTACATTCAAACGTCTATTTGCTCACAATGTCAGGTTCCATATGTTCAATGTTTACGTCATGAGAGCAGTAATGGTTGTTTGCCCTTCTCCGGACTCTCACTTCCATTTACCTTTCTTCTTTTGTATGAGAACTCCTGTTAGCTTTTTACATTTTCATACCTGAATATATTTTTGATACGGCAGACAGGATATGTTTCCTAAACCATGCATAAACATAACATTTACTTTAAAATCAGCAAACGATAGTTTTCGTTTCCATAGATTGATATTTAATTTGAAAAATAAACCTTGAACCATGTGACCATCTCTGTCGCCATATTGTCAATCACTGACTGTGAGTTAATCTATGCAATTTGTCAGT